AAACATCACATCATTACTTAATTAAATTAAACAAGATATTCTCAATGAACTATGAACATTTGAATCATTATACATGAAAAACCAAATGATTTTAACATGATAAAACGTGTACAACTTATTACTATGATTATTTATGATTCAAACATGAACTTGAATGAATCAGATCATAGAAAGATTATAAGAATTAAGAGAAAAGCAAAACAGCAACAACAACAACAACGAACAAAAAACTTGTTCATTGAATGTCAAAGGTGAAAACATGCTTTAAAATGTAGTACGTATCTATCAGTGCTAATGTGTTGCTAAGTAAGATTAAAGTAATTTGACTCATTTTAAGTGTAATTGTTTAAAGAAAAAAATTGTAATAATAATAATAATAATAATAATAATAATAATAATAAAAGGAGGAGGAGGAGGAGGAGGAGGAGGAGGAGGAGGAGGAGGCAGATTTCTACTTGTATACACAAGTTACAATACTACTTACAAATTGATAATGAAAAATCAATTGATAAGATTCTATTCATCTTTCAGGTAATAAAACTGTTAGACAATTTGAAAGGTAATTTTAATAGTTTAGATCATAAGTCAATTGAAGTCAGATCATACACATGAACAAATACAGATGAAGACAGTTAGTGTAACCAGCAACCTTTGCATCAGTAGGCTTCAATATACACAAAAGAAAAACCAAGATCATCAAATACAACACGGAGAACACCAAACCAATCACATTTGATGGAGAAACTCTGGAACAAATGGAATCTTTCATGTAACTGTGAAGCATCATTGATGAACAAGGAGGATAGGACACAGATGTAAATACGAGGATTGACAAAGCAAGTACCACATTCTTACAATTGAAGAAAATATGAAACTCAAAACAACTGTCTGTCAACCAATATCAGAGTCACAATCTTCAATATGAATGTCAAAACAGTCAGTTCTACTGTATGGAGCTGGAACTTGGAGAACTACTTCGACCATCATTAACAAGGTACAAGTATTTATAAATAAGTTGTCTTCGCAAGATGCTCAACATTCATTGGCTGGATATCATCAACAACAGCCTACTGTGGGAGCGGACAAACCAACTTCCAGCTGAAGAGGAAATTAGGAAAGGACAATGGAAATAGATAAGACACACATTACGGAAATCACCAAAGTGCATCATGAGGCAAGCCAAGAGGAAGGCCAAAGTGCACACTTTGTCGGGAAGCAGAAGCAGATATGAAAAGGATGAATAACAACTGGAAGGAGCTGGAAAGGATTCCCCAGGACAGAGTTGAATGGTAGTGCTTGTGGGCAGCCTATGTTCCTCCACGAGTAGTAACAGGCGAAAGTAATTATGTCTGTATGAATGAATGATGATCTTCATGAACAGATCTGGCAGAATTAGGCTTTCACTTTGAGGAGAAAGTGTGTGGTTTTCAATTCAAATGGTACTTAATTTGGATAAAGCTTCATGTTAGTTTTGAAGACAAAATTTCATGGGATTTAATATTAAGGTTATGAATTAAAATAAATTAAATGGAATTTTTTTCTATCTAATTTAAAGGTTTGTGGAGATTCCTAAACTTAGCAGTTTACACCATAGACTGAATTAAGTTAGATGACTAATGGAAACTAGGAAGTACTGAATATCTGTTTCATCCTAATTTACAACACTTCAGTGATAGTGGCTCTCCAATACCCGATCAGAGTTCGAACCGATAAACTTTGGTTGATTTATAAAGTAAGAAATTTTAAACGAGAAATAATCATTTGAAGTTTCGTTGGAGGTGTCCAGAAAATATCCCTTGTTAAAGTCCTCAGAGGACCAAAAACGACAGGAAGCGTTCTATCAAATCAGCATTGAATAGAATCTTTATAGAAACATCTAGAAAATGAAGTATCATCTGCCACAGGTTTGATTGGATATTTATTTATGCTGCTACTCTATTTAGTATGGTTCCAGAAGTTTTCGGAAGCCCAAAGTAGTATGTAACTCTATAAAAATCCTCATTTTTCCTGTACAGAAACTAACATTGGAATAAAGCTTCTACTTGCAATTCGCGCATTCTCTCTAGTGTTGCAGTTGACATACAGCAATAGTTGGGTATATCGAAACCGGCTAGAAAGACAGCTTAAGCGTGTCGATAACAAAAACTATTACATTTAACATACTGTTCTATAAAATATTAAGGATTCCTATTTTGTAAATCAGTAGTTCCCAAATATAAGTTCCGCCGACCAGCATCCTCCGACCCACTATGTCCTGGGCCTTCCTTTCCAGTTCTATCCAATCCTTGTCCATTTTTCTCATGTCTGTCTCCACTTCTCGACGTAATATGTTCTTTGGTCTTCCCCTCGTCCTTTGACCTTGAGGATTCCATGTGAGAGCTTGCCTTGTAGATATGCTGCTCTTGTTTTGCCGATCGTCGCCTTCACATTTGCATCAGATCCACCGTGTTCATCAATAATGCTGCCCAGATATGTAAAAGTTTTTACATCTTCCAAATCTTCTCCGTCAATTGTGATTGGATTGGTACATGCTGTGTTGTATGTGAGAATCTTGCTTTTCCCTTTGTGTATGTTGAGACCTACTGCTTCTGAGGTTGCTGCTACACTGGTCGTCTTCTCCTGCATTTTTGTTGCGTGTGCGATAGTAGAGCCAGATAATCTGCGAAGTGTAGATCGTCCAACCGCATCCTAGATGTCCACTGTATCCCATGCGCCCCCCAGAAGTTGATGTCTTTATGGTCGAGTTGGTCACCAGGTCAAAGAGGAAGGGAGAGAATAAGGAGAGCTATACTTGTTTTCAGTTAAATATTCGTCAAGTTTGAAGTGTTTGTATACATATTTAAGCTCAAATCAAATTATCCCTAACTATTTACTATGGTTAAATGCAGTGTAAATTCACTTGATGTTGTTTTACTTGTATCTCCCCATTGATGTTTAGGACTGCAATTGATCAATCTCTTATTGGAATATGTGTATCATGAGTGGATTACCTCGATATTACCTCATGTCACGACCATTGTAAGCAAAGATGTACAGTGGCTAGCAGTAAAATCTAGAACAAGTTCATCGTTCTATTTGGGATTCGTGGGATGGATGTACCTGCAACCAATTGTTTACGTTTATTATGGGACTCGAACCCAGTACCACTGGCTTCAAATGCCATCACGTTATCCACTCAGCTACTGAGTCCTCATAGCCAATTGCTTATGTAGTGGGGTGAAGTTTAAATTCACTAGGTATTGTTTTACTTGTATTTTAACATTGTTATTTAGGACTGCAATTGATCAGTCTATTATTGGAGTATGTGCATCCTGTGTGGATTACCTCTATATTACTTCAAGTCACAAGCATTTTAATCAAAGATATATAGTGGTTAGTAGTGGAATCTAGGATACACGTTTCATCCTATTTGATATTCGTCAGCTAGATGTACCTACATCTCAGAGTTGATGTTCACTCTGATGTAGTTCAATCAAAAAATCTTAAATGAAAAATAAAAAAAATTGACCAAAAATTCTAAGGGTAGAACATATGTAATAGATACAACAATGTTATAGATAACATCAACTATATTTTTTGTCGTAAAAAGGTGACATAAATAAACTTCAATGATTGAGATCATGAGTCAGTTGAAGTTAGATCACCATGGAAAACCTGGAAGCACTGGACAGCCATTTCGTCCTATTGTTTTTTCTCTAAAAGCACCAAATATATGGGGATGACTGAAAAGAAAACTAGTGGAAACAACTATTTAATTCATAACATTTTAGTAAAATTAAAAAGTTAATGATATGCTTGAATACTATTACGAGTTCATCTTATTCTGTAAACATAACGAAGGTCAAAGATATAGTGACATGATAGGCTATTCTAATCCGCTGCCACCGGCCCTATCATTTAGATCAAGAAATCTTGATAAGACGCAGAGGATGTATTCTACAAGCACCTAGAAAGTAACAGGTCACTAAGCATACAAATCAAACTTATTTATACAATGATAGAAACGCCCTTGGGAGAGCCACAAAATAACGTACTAAAAAAATCCATCAACTACCAACGACAGTCAAGGATTTCAGAGTGGGAAATGTAAGCTGTAGGTTAACTAAACGTCTCTCGGCGCGAAAACATAAAATTCAAATTTTCGGAATAAAATGACAAAATTAGGACCTTTTCCGAGTGAATTCTGGAGATCTAACGTCCTGAATAGTTAGACGTTAACATCATTGGATGTCAGATAGCTCAATGGTCTCCTGTGTGACCTAAAGTCCTGGATTCGAATCCCGAGTACGGGCTCGTTGATATGCATTGCTACGGAGAAGTCCAATACCAGAACGAAACATCCATTCAATGTTTCTAGGTTTTCAATGATGCTGTAGCCTATATCGACTCATGAATTCAACTATTAAATTTTAAAAAAATAACTGACATTAGTACTTATTGATAATTATTTGTTACTAAAATGAACAATCATAACTTGAATTCACTTGGTAATGTTTGTTTGAATCTTCCCATTGATGTTTAGGACTGCAATTGATCAGACTGTTATTGACATATGCCCATATAGCCTTAATTCACAAGCATTGTAAGCAAATATAGATAGTGGCTAGCAGTGAAATCCAGGAAGCATGTTTTGTCCTATTGAGAAGATACAAGTAAAACAATACCTAGTGAATTTAAACTTCACCCCATTACACAAACAATTGGCTATTAGGACACAATAGCTACGTAGATAACGCAATGACGTTTGAAGCAAACGATATTAGATTCCAGTCCCAAAGTGAACATCAACAAGTTTGAGATGCAGGTACATCTAGCTGACGAGTTACAAATTGGATGAAACGCATATCCAGGATTCCACTGCTAACCCACTATCCATCTTTGCATATAAATCATAACTTAGTTTAAACACATCTATCTATGAATGGATAGTTTTTAAATGACCAATCAAAATGTAGCACAATATTTATAAATATAGATATTGATAATTGAATTCAACATGTTGTTTGTTTGTTCAAAGTTTATTTTACAATAAGGGAATATGTTGAATAAACAAAATTGTATGGTTATAAGTATAATGTTTATCTTTATATTGATAAGTTCAATGTATATAGGTAAGTGAATTTCAATGTTATTTTAATATACTGATTGTGTATTGGTTTGTAATAATGTAAAGTACTTTATTTGAATATTCAATGGAATTTAATCATCATTAAGATAATCTGATGATGATTCTTTTCCTTACTTACTTAATTAACGCCTGTCACTCCTCATTGAGGAGCATAGACTGCCCATCAGCATTCTCTGTCCAACTCTGTCATGGGTAATCCTTTTCAGTTGCTAGTCATCCTTTTTATCATATCTACTTCTATTTCCCGACAAAGTGTGTTCTTTGGCCTTCCACTTTTCCGATTTCATTCAGGATTCTAAGTTAGCATTTGTTTCGTGATGCAGTTTGATGATTTCCGTAATGTATGTCCTATTTATTTCCATTGTCCTTCCCTAACTTCCTCTTCAGCTGGAAGTTGGATTGTCCTCTCCCACAGTAGGCTGTTGTTGATGATATCCATCCAATGAATGTTGAGCATCTTGCGTAGACAACTATTTATAAATACTTGTACCTTGTTGATGATGGTTCTCCAGAATCTTTTCTTTACATAAAATATATTCAAACTATCAAAGAACTGTTCAGATGGTATATAATTGTTTGATTATATATTTTTTGGATTAAATTATGCATAGAATAGTTCATTATCTAACTGTAAGTATAATCTTACGGTTAGATAGCATGATGGATATGCCCAGTCAGTATAGTCCTTTTGAAATATTAGGTGATTTATGGTAGTCGGTAGGAAAAGCTGAACCTACATTACGTGCAATCTAGGACTCGTCATGAGAGTTTACTTATAATCTTGAGGAAATGGATGCTCTCTGTCGGACTCAAACTGACGTCATCCAACTTTTTAGTCTGTGACGTTACCACTGACTTATCCAAGACAGTAATTGACCTCTTATAAAACTGCATTTTCTATCCACTACCTTCCACCATTTTAGATCTCAATATAATGCTTAAAATATTAAATCACTTAGGTTAATGATCACATTGAATTCAAGGACTAGATAAACATGATACTAGTCTCTATTCAATGATTAATCTAGTTGTACAATTCTGTAAAACTAACATTGAAGAAGAAATCTATCTCTTGTTGTATTCAAAACCTTTTAAAGGTAAGACATTCATTTGTAACTGAATAGTTTCAAGTTTGAATTGTAGTTAAGTGAAAAAAAGGAAACGTAAAAATTTGATGCAACTAGCTAACATTAAATATAATTTTTTTAAGGTTACCATGAAGTTCAAGCATTATGATGTGATGAATATTACTCATAATTCAATTATAATCCCAATTTACTAAAGACAGTATTAATGTTATATCTTGTTGGTTTGTGCCCCTATCAGTGTATCACGTCACGACGACGACGCCGCTGCCAATTAGAGAACGGTCAATTATCAATCGGATCATTAACGTATAAAACCCGTATGAGCAGTCTACAGTCTTTATCGATCCTTCTCTCATACCTGTTGAATCCAAAACATTAATCTCAGCCTCCACGATATGAATCCTTATATTTCAAACATAATGGGTTTATATACACCAACCAAACAGACCACATCGTACCATAAAACAGAAAACAACATTTGTACAAGATTTAGCCAAATGGGGCTGTGAGTATGGGAGGTAGTGATTAATAGACTAGACATAATTCAAGAACGGTAAATCTTATAATAATAATCTATGGGTCAAAATAAAGCTTGTAATAAGAAGAACACGAATAGTTAATTAATATATATATGGTATTGGTTCATTAATAGTTCTCAAAAGTTACCATTCATAATTCTCGTCGAGACATAACAATTGAGTCATGAAGAAGATGATTTGAATCATATAAAGGATTTTATATACTTCAACCTTGCATTAGGAAATAGTTATAAAATCTGATAAATTGATTCAATTTAGGGATGTAAACAATTGAGAGCTGACTCAATAGTCTAAAGTTTATGAGTTTGTTACCAAGGCTGAAGGTTCTGACTTTAATCCCCTTTCGTGGAGGTCATGAATAAACATTGCTAAAATATCCCATACTAAGATGAATTTGCTGTCTAATGAGTGCTTTCTGGTTTTCAATGACTGTTCAAATTAGGTGAGTTTATGATGTGAACTATGAAGAATATTTGAATTTTCCTATTACACTACTGAATATAGTACTGATAATGTTGAAATAAAATTGCTTTTTTTAAACATTTCAAATTTAGGAAATTCGGGAGCTTTAAAATGTTATGTTTGTCAAAATTGTACAAATCTCACAGCTAAAGCTAATTTCACAATTAGCAATGACTGTAAATCCTGCCAGGTGAGGTTTAACAAAAATGTATTTCTCATAAAACTTATATTTATTTTCACAGTTGGAATCACAAGTCAACTTAAGTTAGACGACTATTGGAAATACTGGATGGCCGTTTCGTCCTGGTATGGGACTCTTCAGAAGTGCTCACCCACGATCCCGCATGTTGGACTCAAAACAAGGACTTTTAGTTTCGCCCGCTTACGCTTAATCTATAGACCACTGAACTGCCATCCAATAGTGTTAATGTGTAATTTCAATCGATCTTTGACTAAGCGCAATCCTTTATCCATTATCTGAGATGGATAACTATCTCCACTCTACACAGATTAGACTCCTCTGGTTACAGCTGTGAATGTGCACAGTTAAGAAGTCCCATACTAGAACAAAACAGCCCTCCAGTGCTTTCAGGGATTCACTAGTGGCCTACCTTAGATCAACTCGTTATTTCATCTGTGAAAAACTACAATCTCCACAAATCCCGATTTATTTTCTACTTATTCAAGCTATCATACAGTTTAATGTTAAGAGATTCGGATGGTTGGAAGAATCATAGTATATGTTACGTAGTATAAGTCAAATTATCATCATTCAGTTCACTGATATCTTGTTTTTAAAATGTTACACATTTACTAGGAATATTTCTATATTCCTTTGCTTGATTAAGGTAATTGAAATTCAAATGTTTTACTCATCAATCTGATTCTTAAATTCTTCAGAGTAATGAATTATTTTATAGTTGAGTTCATGGGTCAATTGAAGCTAGACCATCATGTATGTCTACCATTAACATCGGTGGATGTCAGATAGCTCAGTGGTCTAGAGGTTAAGCGTTCGCACGCGAGAGCTGGATTGTGAATGTGTAGTTCTGATGAGTACCACACTAGGGTAAAATGGCCGTCCAGTGCTTCCAGATTTTTCCATAGTAGTCTAGATTTAGTTGACTCATGAGCTCAACTATAAAATTACTAAAATCTCCACATAACCCCCTTCCAATAATAATAATAAATAATTTTCAATATTTCATTGAAGAAGTTCAAATCAAATTGATGATCAAACACATTGAAACTAATTAAAATTTCAATCACTGAGATTTACATGACTATCTGTGTTATTACAGAAAAATAATTATTATCAGAAGGGGTTGGTTGAAGTTAGACATTAACACCGTTGGATGCTGGCTCAGTGGTTTAGTTGGTTGAGCGCCTGGCGCGAGACTGACAGGTTCTGGGTTCGGATCTCACGGGGTGCGGGATCGTGGATACGCATTGTGAGGAGTCCCGTACTCGGACGAAACGGCCATCCAGTGTTTCCAGGTTTTGCATGGTGGTCTAGCTTCAACTGACTCATGATTTCAATCACAGAAAAATAATCAATTTGATATTGATCCTTAAATGGACACAAGATATTAGATAATTAGATCAGTAGGATTAAACAATATTATCAATAATAGACTCAGTTGATTATGATACTGAATATCATTTGATATATTCGACTCAACAAATTCTACTATAATCATGAACCAAATTATAGACCAATGTAATAATATATCATCACATAAACACAAAACAGTCAACACATAGAATTAAATTGGAATCTGTCTTACATAGAAGATAGTCTTGTATACTCAATACGCCTAGATATGTTTGTTTGAATTCATTAGCCTGTCGTACATCAGTTTGATAGGTAAATTGTCACATTTATTGATTACTTACTTACATACTCCTATTACTCCTCGTGAAGCAGCAGCACTCTCCATCCGACCCTGTCCTGGACAATCCTTTCCAGCTTTTTCCAGTTGTCAGTCATCCTTTTTATATCTGCTTCTATTTCCTGAAAAAGTGTGTTCTTTGGCCTTCTACTTTTCCGATTCTATTCAGGATTCTAAGTTAGCATTTGTCTCTTGATGCAGTTTGATGATTTGCATAATTTATATCCTATCCATTTCCAATGGTTTTTCTCAATTTCCTCTTCAGCTGGAAGTTGGATTGTCCTCTCCCACAGTAGGCTGTCGCTGATGATATCCAGCCAATGGATGCTGAGTATATTGCGTAGACAAATATGTATAAATACTTGTACCTTGTTGATGATGGTTGAAGTAGTTCTCCAAGTTCCAGCTCCATACAGTAGAACTGATTGTCTTGACATTCATATTGAAGCTTGTAACTCTGATATTGGTTGACAGACAGTTGTTTTGAGTTTCATATTTTCTTCAATTGTAGGAATGCGACCCTTGTTTTGCCAATTGATTACATTATTATTAATATTATTACTTTTTATATTGTTTTCTGTAGAAAATAGTCAAACTAAAAAATGGTGTTTTAAACGCTATAACCAGGAGCTGTATAAAGGATATATGTACTCCATCGAATAAATCTGTATCACCATGGCTAAATATCACTACATGTTGTACAAAAAAAGATCTATGCAATCAATCAATTCGATTATCATCTGAAATGAATATTCAATTAATTTGGATACTTTTTAGTATATGGATATGGTATAACTGTTGATTGGAAATAATAATAAAAGATGTGTTTTCTTCTCTTTACCCCGTTAGTGATCTCGTTGCATAATGGTTATGTTAGACAGTTTGTATTAGCTTTGGTTCCTTAATCAATCACCTTGATAACCGTTACTATATAAATCCCAGTGGTGTTTGAAATCAGAAAGCAATAAGGAGCAGCAACTACAGTTTATTATCGGATATAGCACAGATAACAAAGTTACAAGCATATGGAGTGAATCAGAGTAAATAGGTTAATATATGTATGTGAGCGAATACATAAGCGAATTTATAGTCAAATCAAATCAAGGAGCAGCTAGGCAAAGCAAAGGCTAATAGGATTCGAGTACATATATACGTGGGAAAGAGAATAATTCCTTGAGCAATAGTTAAATGATCGACATTTAAGCTCCAGTCTGTAATGTGATCAATCGTACATGTTTATACAGACAAGATAGTGATTATAATACAAAGAAATAAACGAAGTGTTACTGTTCGAATAACATTCGCTGTTAAGTAAGTTAATAAAAAGGATTAACAAAATTTAACCATAATCAAAATTGATTGTAGGAGAGTTGCTATGATCACGTCAGAATCTCGCCAAAATTCCATAATCACATTTCATCGTGACAATGGGCTTTAAGCTACATGGACAGAATGCTAGAAACTATCACTGCTGAGGAGTCCCACAATGGGACGAAACGGCCGTCCAGTGCTTTCAGGTTTCCAAAGGTGGTCTAACATCAATCGGTTCATGATCTCAATCAATAACTTAAAAGAACTTGTTTTTATCCCTCCTAGATTCTGTTCAGTTAGATGATAGGAATAAACAAAATACATAATTCAGTGATTAATTATATTACTCAGTCAAGTTGTAGTAAACGAGAACATAATTGGAGATGATCTAATGAACTTGGATACAGAATTACAGAATACCTTAATAAAATCTGAGAATCATACAATAAATACTTCATTTGTAAATTGTTAATCGATTGTCTCAGACTTCATTATTCTTTCATTTCCACATTGATCATTCTTTGTTCTCGTTCTCTTTCCTTCAATCTTCTTAACCTTCTGTCGCCAGGCATTCTACTTTCAATTGATGATACATACTAATTATATCTGTCGACATCAGTGGCACATATCACAAAATCAGTCATATACATAAGATAATCGATTGATTACTAGTCCAGTTTATCCAAATTTATCGGTCGACTAAAAGTTTAAAATCATAAGTAATTTGTTATCACCATACTCCTGAATGGTAGGTGAATAAATCAATCTTTTACAGCCTTGTTTTCTTCCTTGAGTCGACAAACCATTGCCGTTCCGTTACAATGAGTATTCGGTAAAGCTTTGATCCGTCTACGATTTCAACTGGATTCAACAATCTCCACAACCTCTAACTAATAATTATTATGCTCTTACTAGTAGCTAGCTGCGAGAGGAAATGAACGGAATTCTATTAAGAAGTTGCAAAGCTAAATTGTGTCGGGTGAGGCAGTTACCTACCGAAGACAATGGAAGATGATCGCATAATATCGTGGATTGATTGGAGTTAGACATCAAGACCACTGAATGCCAACTCAGTGATTAAGCGTTGGTGCGCAAGATCAAAGGTTCTGAGTTCGATTTCTGTGTGCAGGATCGTGGGTGTGCACTGCTGAGGAGTCTCATACTAGGATGAAACGGCTATCCAGTGCTTTCAGGTTTTCAGTGGTGGTTTAACTTAGACCGATTGATGCGTTAAATAAAAAAAGTATATCACAGTCACAACAAACAACCGTATCAGTAGAAGAGATCAACATTTAGCTGATGCATCAGTGACAATGTCGCGCCATAATCCGAGACCTGTTATCTTATACCTGATTGATTCGTCCATAAATTATAGTCTCGCCCACACTTCTTTGGTTTGCTTTTTCTATCTGATAGTAAATGTTGAGTTACGCTTGACAAAATAGAATGGGTTGATATGCCTGTCTCCATATTGCACTTGTCATGTACGGTCTATTTGAGCAAATGAGTAATTGAAATAAATTCTTTCAACACAGTTCATATTTAACCTTTTTACCACTGTTACCCAGTGAGATTAGCCTAAGTATAATATACAAACCTAAATGGAGACTTAACATTTCATGCTTCATTTATGGTCGTTCGTAATATAGTGAATACGTTACTACAGAAATAGAATTAGAACACTTTCCAACTGGTTATTTTGTGTTAAAGATCTTCATCAACTTCCAAACCTTCTAAATCTTAATAGAAAAATTTATTGTCTCAAGTCCACAGTAACTCAACGGGATATGAAGTAACATCAGTAAATGTTTTGTTGGGTGACTACACTGCCTTCTCGTGGTGGGGATGCTGTTTACGAAAGTGAGAGGACGAAAAGCGAACGTCCGGCGCTTTAACCGGGTTGGTGGATATGGAGGATCCATCTAGGGGAGTTGGGAAACCCTCCTTAAAAACCAATGGTGCACATGGTCCCCAGTGTCTTGAAGGAACAAGTGGCGTATGAACCAATTATTGGTCATTGGCTACCATGAGACTGCATCTCCTTACGATGCTCCACTGCCTTGTGGATCAGACCTTCAGGTCGAAGGCTTGGGATGTGGCCCCTCAAGAAGACCACCTGCTTCGGTTTGGGCACCCGGGCAGTGTCCCAGCCCTCACATAAATCGGATGATTTATGTGACGCATATCTATTTGATGCCTTTTTGTACCAATGTTTATGTTTTTAAATAAATAAATAATACATATTCAAGATAGCATTAAAACATTACCTATAGCTCACGAAAGCAGTTGCATAACACTGTACAGTGATAACCATATGTTCAGCAAGACGATGAATGGAAAGAAGAAATTTATTTTTAATTACTTTCTTATTATAACTCTACACTGATATATGTGTATGGTTTGCAATAATAAAATAATACTAATCGAGTAGTGGTGTAACATAACTCCGCCTGGAGTCTCTCCGGGGGCTACTGCCGGTCCCAAGCCCGGATAAAGGAGGAGGGTTGGGCATGGGGTTAGTGACCCCATCCCGTAGAAAACTAACTCGCTAAAAAAACGCTAACCAGAAAACTGGTCGGCGGCCTATGCTCCATTAGGAGTAACAGGCGTAAGTGGTGTGACATAAGAATTATATAATACCAAAGTGATTATAAAGTTAGTCTCGAATGATCAACCGATTAAATGTAATAAGGGCGATTATTCTAGTCGTATAGCAGAAAACCATCCGTCTTGGTCAAGCAAAGGACAGGTAAGGGTGACTAAGACTTCTACTATCGTTAATTTAGTGGATCCAAAACATCAAAGTTGATTTGAATAAAGCTTTTAAGGTTATTCACCATATTCATCTTATAGTTTAAGAATCCCTCTTTTAAATACTGCCAGAGCTATCAGAATCAATATTCATAAACCTAACTTTTGTACTTGGAAGCTTGTACAATCACTACTCTGATCATCAATAATAGGATTATGATTTAACTATTTCTTGATTCTTTCACAACTACTGTGAAATTGACTTTCTATGAAGTATTATTAATCTGTTAACGCCTTATGGCCGCCAAATGCCCTGGTATGACCGAGAGTAAGGAGGGCTCGCACTCCCCCTCGAAATGCTCTCATTTGACATCCAGTGTCGACACCATGTTAGTAATGCAGAGGTTCGGCATCGTGTGTTCGGGCACAGAGACGATAATCCAATTGGTGTCACCATCTGGAAACACCGACTTCGGTGACTTGGACATGTTCTACAAATGTCGTCCCAGAGAATTCCTCGTTGTGCGTTATTTGCCGACTCTGAGACTGGTTGGAAAAAGCGGAGAGGTGGTCAGTGTATGACATGGTGTCGTGGTATGAAAGAAAGCTGCAAAGGGCTGGCTTCTGTTGGTCCTTCACGACTCCCTGGTTGGGGTCCGAGAGATGGTGCAACGCTGTGGCTGGAGACGTTATCAGATATGGCTCAGGATACAAGTCAGTGGCGATCCTGCTGTAACCTTTTATTCTCTTCATAAGAAGTGATTGTAACTTCCTTAACTCAAAGAACTCTCCTGATTGTGCCTTTCCGTTTCCCCCATTATTATTATTATATTACCACCCACTAATCTGTGGTCGTTTTTTTCTTATATGCACCTCACCTTTTTCTCTTCCCATTCTCATTGTTTTGTGTGGCGCATATATATCTGCTGCCCCCCTTGTACCGATATTTATGTGTTCAAATAAATAAAATAACGTTTTATGACATATTTTCAACTCCTACAATTAATTAATTTGATTATTGGAGTCGTCCTTCTTTCATTTATATCATCAGCACAAAATTCAAGTAGACGTGAAGCTTGTGCTAATGATGTTCAGAATAACGATGGAAGCTCTACGATCACACCATTCAGCTCAGAGAACAAAACTCCACCAAAATCTTCCACCTGAGTTACAAATCTTCACCATCGCATTTACAATGCAATGTTTGATTGTCTCATACACATCTGTTATGAATATATAATGTAAACACATAAGTAACCTGGGATTGTCACTACGCTTTATTTAACAACCAACTCCATGTGAAACTATGATAACGACTGTTGATTGCATAGCAATATACAAACGGTTGTTTCGTAACGGAAAACGATCTAGATGATATTTTATGCTACTTATTCCATGTTAGTAGTATTGGAAAACTGAGAGACGTGAATATTAAGTCTGACAGATAATAAAAGTGGACAATAGAATTACTCATTGTGTTAGAATGATATGAATATAATAGTTCGGTCTTTAAAGTGAAAAAAACATCCACCAAAACATTCTTAGTATTTAATTTGGAAAAGATGAGTTATATCTTTTGTTCAAAAGTATAGATCTACAAGGATTAAATTCTACTTACAAAATGATGCTCATTTACGCAACCTAATATCATACAATAGTTCTAACTCATTGTTTAATACATAACCCTGTGAACGGTTAATGAATTGCACTGTTTAATTTTTGTTTTCATGTAGTACTACGGTGTATGCTACTTATGTCGAAAGACATAAGTAGTATGTAAAACCAATCAATAGTGGTAAACCTGGCAGTAGAAAACTAAGAAAATAGAGTTGAAGAACTATTAAGGGAAAAAAGAAAGGAATTGTGAACATGAAGAATCATACAGAATATGAAGGACAAATGATGGAAATTTACAAATGAAGTATTCACTATATCGTTCTTATATTTTACCAAGATACTCTGTAATTTTGTTTTAAAATACATTTGATTATCACCCACCTATGTTTTCGTTCATTAACATACCAATACACGTCAATTAGGAAACATGATTCATTATTAGATCATATTGCCCATATTTGATAACTTTGTAAAAACCAAACTATCAGTTGGGATACATCTGTATATTTGTAAATTATTCTTATTGTAAAACTATATATCAGTACAAAACATCTTCTAATTAGTATTCATCTTCATTCAATTTTCCGCGTTTTTGATGGTCGACTGATTTCTTCATCGCTAGAGATGACTAATTGAGGACTGGTTTCTCGAACTGGATGAGCTCGTTTTAATAACTTACGACTAGGTTCTTCTTTATTCTCATCTAATATAACACAATCACTATAATACAATATGTGACAAAGAAAAAAAGATATTGGTTCATTTAGACATTATTTCTAAAAGATAAGACTATTATAATTGTGACAAGGAAATAAAGAAAATACATTCAAGTTATTCTACTTTTGTATATGGTAGAGTGTTATGACAAGATTTATGATGAGATTGTATGCAGCAAGCTTCCAGAAGCTTGGCACTCAGGTCAATCAGCAATCAACAAGCACATTGAAATCGATCCAATTTATCAACTATTCTGAAAAATTATGCACAAAAATAGGAACAAAAACCAAACCAAAGGAAGATACAACCAAAACAAAGAAGTAAACAATGACAGGTTTAAGGTCAACAAGAACTAATCAAGATCGAGGTCTACAGGACAAGTTGTGAACCAAATGTGGAGAAATTCGAATACTTCACTTCTATCTGAAGTTTGTGCTGATGATTTCGTTCAGAAGAACGATGAAAGCTCCACGACCAAAACATCCAGCTCAAAGAACAAAACTCCACCGAAATCATCCACCTGAGCTACATATCTTCTGCACCATACAAAAGTTTATACCCAAGTGAATAACCATTAGTCAAGGACAGAAGTATAGTATTAATTTGTGCATATAAAGAAACACTTGAGGGGGAAGCCAAAAAAGGAAGTTTAGAGGTGAAAGTTGATGTAGGAGGAATAATAAGAAGTGAAGACGGAGGTTGATTAGGAATACAGTGATCTTGAGTGCTGTTAGAGGTATGAGGGCGGTTATCACTTTCCGGTTGCCCACACCGAGGAAGGGTTCTTCTGGAGGTACCTGAAAAGGAAATTCGACTAGAGGTGGTCTTAGTGACCTGAGAGCGTGACCGCAGAACCCAAGGGACACCTGCTTGAGGTCGGTCACACACAACCTTTTTATGAGTAATTTTTGTGTTAGCTCCGTACTTGTTGAGACCTTACCGCCGGAGATGGATATCCGTGGGATAAGGCGAGGTGTGCATTTTCAGGGTCGACCTTTTCTAACTCCACCCCTCCTTGTGGGAAGGCAGCATCGCTGTCATGCTGGTTGTCTGAAAGAAACACCTCACTGCTGTCACACCTCTGTACAGTCAGCAGTACGACTTCGCCTTCGGACCTTGGGTTTGTTGCCTTTATTCTTACCGCTCTTCAACCGACCTGTCTGACATGGTAGGACCTTGAGGAACGGTTGTTCCAGCCAGTATAGCTCGATTGCTTCATCACGATAGGCAAGCCCGACCACCACGTCAAGGTAGCAACAACGGTCGGGAAATGCAAAGTCTTTTGGTAGCACTGAGCAACAATGCCAAAATGTTTGGAATGCGCTTCTCTCCCTCTTAATGCAAGTTGTTACTTCAGGACTGGTCTGCGTTAACACCTGAACTAAGAATAAGGAGTGGAGTAGTCGAACGCGTTGACAATTTCACTTATCTTGGAAGTCTGATCAGCCCTAATGGGTTGGTGTCTGACGAAATCTCAGCACGGATTCGAAAAGCTCGCTTGGCTTTTGCCAACTTACGTCACCTATGGCGAAGGCGAGATATCAGTCCATCAATTAAAGGACGAGTATACTGCGCGGCAGTCCGTTCTGTTTTAATTTACGGCAGCGAAACATGGCCTTTAAAAGTAGAAGACACTTGTAAGCTACTAGTATTTGACCACAGATGCCTTAGAAATATTGCTGGCGTCTGCTGGGATCACCGGGTAAGTAATAGTGAGGTTAAATAGGGTATGGTAAGTCAGTTGATGAGATTGTGAGTCTTCATCGACTGAGATGGTTGGGCTACGTGTTGAGTGTGCCTGAACACCGATTACCACGTCGTGCAATGCTAACCGGTGTTGGAGATGGTTGGAAGAAAGTTGGGGGCGGCCAAACCAAAACGTGGCACTAGTGCTTGAAGACAATAACATCTGGTCTGAGCCATGTTGGTAGATGCAGACTACTCAGTTAGGGTCCACGTGACTATCGTAACCAATGGTTGGAGACTCTGGGTGACATGGCTCAGAAGCGACCACAATGGCGTCGGTGTATACACTCTGTCTTCCCTTAAACTAAGAGATTAAAATCGCCTCATATCTTTCTTTCTACGAACTAGTTCTTTTTTCTTGTACTATATCCTTATTGCAATCTTTATTTTATATATTACCACCTCTGAAATAACTAGTTTTATGAATCCGGTGTCCATCTTGTTGTGTTAATGAGGTATGGAAACTTGGACCGACGCACATATATGCCAGGTCCTACGTTGTAGCTGACTGACTGACTTTGCATTTCATTAGCGTCTTTACCAAACAGGACTATGTCATCTAAGTCGATAAGTGGATCTCCTAGTAGGAGATCAATTGCCGGAAATCTAGTCTACGAGCAGTGGGTCTATGATGAAATTAAACAAAAGTGGAGATAACGGAAAGCCTTGCCGTACACCACTTGAGGTTACGAAATCAGGTAACAGTTCGCCATAAGCTCTGACTCGACTAGTAGTGTTCCAGTAAAGAGCCTTCACAAGATTTGTCTTTAATTTTATTAGTAAAGACACATAATTTGTGATCCCGTCATGCTCCAAAAATATCTGTAATCAAGTGACCGTTAGCTTTGGATGCACTTCAATTAAAATGATAGTCTTCTGGCAAACAGTATTTTTGATAAGTGCCAGAGCGACAGTTAAGACAAACTAAGTAAACTTTGTTTGTTTAAATTTACATGAAACTATATTATATTTAGAAGTATCATAATTCTGAGATAAAAAGTATGGGAGTAATTTACCATACAACCACTTCCGTTACCTCTACACGTGCACAGTATTGACCTGGATTGGCATAATCTACTGTGCAGATAAACTGGCCGCCTTGAGTTACTGAGTGTTACAACTTATTTTTGGACTTTAGTCAATGTAATTCATATTCTGCATTTGAAATGAAAGGCTGATTATAGCTAACCTAACTGATAACTAATAGATTTAGAGCCACTATTCAACACCAAGATGCGGGCTCAAGAAAACTAATTGATTTATCCTAGCTTCTTGCAAGAATATCGGATTCGAGTCCAAAATTTAGAGTGACTACTCAATACGCATTTGCATGATACTTTGTGAAGCAATAGTTGGGAATACTCAGATAGCATGGTATATTATGGAGTCAAATAGGGAACTTTTAGAGACAACAATAATCTCAACAAATTTTTGTCAGTAATACGTGAATAAACAGCATTTAAGTATCACCGATCAAGTTGGATACAGTTAATTATACTTACTTGTTATTTTTTAGTGAACAAACAGACAGTCTGTGTGTGGGGAACTGACGTATATGCCAAGATGAATCGGATCCTTTTATTACATAAGGTATGTAAGGGGTTTGACAATCTGTAACACACAGGCTGAGAGAATCACCTTGATCACTTGAAGTCGGTAAAACACGAGAGAAGAGTGCACCTGGTTTCTTTACTAACCGTTTCATAAACTTTCGAAGAAATTTTTCTACTTGAGGATTGCAGGTGTCCAGAAGCATTTTAGAAGTGTAGCCTGGCGGGATTTGAACCACTGAAATGACGTAGTCGTCAAGGTCCATTCTCAACAATACCTTCGAGAGATGAACTTTGTATGGTTTGCTATCAATGAAAATGCCCTCAATTTAGTTAAAAAATTGTCTCAGTTTAAATGGATCAAACAGTTGTGTTTATAAACACACAATCGGATCTATTTGAACAATCAGAAGATTCTGATAAGATTATTTCCGGAATATGACTTAAACTGAAGTTATTCACAGACAGAGAAATACCACAATCAATGTGGAGGACTTAACTATACGATGATTAGATGAACATTTAGTAAATCAAATATTTTTGTAACGAGTGATTATAGTTGTTGATTTATTTGAACTCGTGTTGTATTGTAAGGTGGAGGTATCAGATTCCTTGTTATCAGTTGACCGCAGTAGTTCTAGTAGCAAGTAGTTTGGGATTTTCTCGTTTTTTCTTGATTACACGCGAACGAAGAAGAAATCCGTAGAACAGGCAGAAATCACTACTTCTTTGGTCTTTAATCAGTTTTATTTGATACAGTGCTGATAAGACTACAAAGAGTTCTATTTGTTTTTAGTTTGTAGACTAGTAATGTAACGCCTGACTATTGGTAAATTTGCCTGTAGTCGGAGGGTACATTCTATACTGAAATGTAGAGGTTCGCGGATAGCCGGAAGGTACTTTGTGTACTAGGAGAACAAGCAGAATAGCGTGAATGAGGAGAGCTACAAAAGAGAAAAGAAAGAGTGAGCCAACGACCCAGAAAGCACACACGATGCACCTGCATTTACAAAGAAGAGAAACAGACAATAATCAGCATTACCATAAGCCTCAAACTAGCATGATCTGGAAATCAATTGATTTCCATTTTTAAAACTAACAGACAGCTTAGCATGCTACACGGAGGTGTGGTCAGTGTGTTATTCCAGGAGAAAACGAGAAAAAGTCGTCTGATGATACTGATACACTTACACTAAACAATGAGAACAATGGAAAATAGTATACAACACCAGATGGGCTGCAGTAACGTCTGTATTAAATACTGCGCCATAAATCCAGTCTTAGGTCCTAAATATGTTTTTGACGTGCTAGTATTGTTTCAGACTAAAGAGAATGAAACGAAATGGTGACAAGTAACTAACCATAATGCGTAATTAACGATGGATAATCTAATAACAAATAAGCAATAGCTACAACGTGAAACTGAAATTTGAAACGACCCAAATGTATGATCGGTCTGAGTCGGTAAAGGTATAATTTATAGACGAGGCAATCAGATATAAAAGCGAAACTGAGGGCATATGTTCGGCGAATCGACATTGAATCCTTCCCAAATTCACGGCCAAGCTGAGCGTATCCACATTTTAGAATACTTAACACTACAGATTGTTTACCAAACTTCGCTAGTGTCAGTGATGATTAACATGGGATTATCAGATCTCCCCATAAAGAGGGTACGTATAGAAGGCTGGCTGTTTCTTTCGTAATACAGTTCTCCGGTCTTTTCTAACGAATGCATAACATTTGGGCAATATATGCTCTGTATTTCAAGTATTTTAAAGAAGCTGGATGTTCTGACAAAAAACGTAGGATTACTCTGACTAGAAAACTTATTTGATCATGTAACTGCACTGACCTGCTTTTATCACGAGAACGCGATCGGTTTAATGAAAACAATTATTATCATTATAACCAATTGTACCAGGGATTGTTTCACCGTACTTGTTTTTTTTAACTGTACCAAAACACATACCTTCTTCCGTTGCTTGTGACCTTGCACGAATTCGGTTATGCTCAGTAACCACACTTGTCCCCTGGCACGATCTCGGTATTCTTTTGATACCACAAGATCGCCAACAAATACACTTCGACTACAGTCATCAACTGCCTTCTGATATTTGGCTTACAGGGGATCTTATCGTTCAACTGGCACGTAGTCTTCCTGTAGTGGTGATCATAATCAACTGCGACTCGACGCCACACTTCACATATATGACGTAACGTTGCATATTTTAAGCGGTCATATAATTGTTGTCTGACTTTTGTAAACGGGTACTTGTGATCGAGAGAAATAACTAATTATACTTTATGAACTTTCGTCCAATATCTGCTAGTTATTTTTATCAGGGTAATGTAGGCAGTCACATCTCCATGATTCACTTGCTTGATGGTCATAACGATTCTTCAGAAATTCAAGTAATTTACTCATTACAAGGTTCTTTTCAGCATCATAAGTTAGAGGTTGCTGTCCGGTGAGTGATATTCCAGAGTTACATTAGGAGGACTTTCGAACGGTGATACATACATTTCGCTTAGCCAATTGAATATGGATAGTACCTACTTGAGGAAAACTTATTAGAACTTATGAACTTTGACGAGTTGTTCAGTAATTCAGACTCAGATTTAGCTCCTTGGACAATTTTTGTTGTGACTGTCCAGTTTTGGTGGAAATTTTTATTTGAGTTGTAATGTCAGTCGTTGGTACAGCAACTAAAATTTCAGGAAATATACTAGTAGATTTAAATAAGCAATTGAGACTATCTGTTTATGCTAAAAAACCTGTTAAATCAACTTGAATGTAAATAGAAGATACAGAGGGCAATGAAAATATTCCGATGGTGAGTTAATGAGTCTGTTCAATTTTTCCTGTTGGTTTATTCGGTATTCTCTACACACCTTTTTGTTCGTGTGTAAGTTAGGTCACACATATTCAACACTCGACAGCTTATTCACTGAAGTTGCATCTGAGTTGTCAGATTTGATAGATAATATTCCTGCACCTAATCCATATGATCAATTGAAGCAGGCAATTATTCAACGTACCTCATTATCTGATGAAAAGAGATTACAGCAATTACTACACGAATGTGAGCTAGGCGACAAATCACCGTCTCAGTTATTACGACACATGAGACAATTAGCTGGCCCTTATAAATTTGATGACGCCTTCCTCATGGAGATTTGGCTTCAACGTTTGCCAACAGTAGTTAGGCAAATTCTTTGCGCCTCTAGCCAACCATCAGATTTAGAAAGTCTTGCTAGCATGGCGGATAAAATTTTAGAAGTTACACCCTGTACTACACCTTACGTACAGGCAATAGTAGAAACTTCGAACGATAAGCAAACTCCCACCATAGCATCGTTAACTGCTGAACTACGCGAACTACGAGCACAACATGAACGAACTGTCGCCACTCTTGAAAATAAACTGGATGCATTACAATTATTAATCTCCAACTTCACATCTACAAGATCTCGCTCTAGTTCTCGAGGGAGTAAGAATCGAAATAACTCAAAAGGAAACAAAAACGACGACAACATATGTTGGTACCATAAAAAATATGGTGACAAAGCTAGGAAATGTGTTACGTCTTGTAAATTTTTCAAGTCAAAATCCTCACCAAAACGTGTCAACCAAACCATGGTAGCGACAAATGTTTCTGGTCGTGCGCCTACTCGTCTTTTCCACGTTCTTGATAAAACTTCAGGGTACAAATTCTTAGTAGATACTGGAGCTGAAGTTAGTGTCATCCCAGTTACCTTAGCCAATAAACCTATTGCTAAGAGTGGAAAATATACCCTAAGGGCAGCTAATGAAACCGAAATAAAGACATTTGGCGAACAATTTCTAACATTAGACTTGGGAATTAGACGGAATTTAACCTGGGTGTTTATTATTGCGGATGTCCGTCACCCTATACTAGGTGCAGATTTTCTCAGTTTCTACAACCTACTAGTTGACGTTAAGAGAAGAAAACTTATTGATTCCTGCACGAACCTTCAAATCCAGGGAATTCAGTCGGACTACCACATACATAGTATTAAAATTGACACCCCAGGGAACGACATATTCGCCACCATTCTATCTAAATTTCCCAAAATAACGAGACCAGACTACAGTGAAAACACTGTCCAACATTCTGTAGTACACCGGATCATCACAAAAGGTCAACCAACTTCGGCACGTCCACGCCGATTACCACCAGACAAACTGAATGTTGCAAAGGCTGAGTTTGATCATATGATGCAGCTAGGTATAATACGTCCGTCAAGTAGCCCCTGGGCATCCCCACTCCACATGGTGCCCAAGCGAGACCAAGATTGGCGACCTTGTGGTGATTATAGATCATTGAACAACCTCACATTACCGGATCGCTACCCAATCCCTCATTTACATGATTTTTCTCTCACTTTACATGGCAAACCCGTATGTACGGATCCCACTTCTTTTTGCGAAAGACTAATGAGTCATATGAACAACATTAAGCCTGTTGCACCTCGCCCAGTTGTCTTAAAAGAGCAAGTTAGCAAGCATCTAAATACGTGTAAATTTGTATTTGTTCGTGTTGACTCAGTAAGACGCCCTCTACAACATCCTTATGAAGGACCATATGAAGTAGTTGAGAGGCAATCAAAATATTTCACAATCAATAAGAACGGAAAAAAAGAAACAGTTTCAATCGACCGGATAAAACCTGCTTTTATAGAATCTGAAACACATGACAGCCGAAAGCCGTCTAAAGACAGCGGTGATCACACAACGCAGCTTCCACTGTTTCCAAATAATTCTTCACCAACTCCGACGAAATCAATATTCGGTAAAACAGACGGTTCTAAGGTTACAGTTTCCACAAATTTAAATCCTAGTTCCGACACTTTACCCTCTACGAAAACAACTCGTTCAGGAAGACATGTACATTTTCCTAAACGTTATGTTGAATTAATTACTTAATCTTTATTCTGTCATTACCTGTAATGTGATTGAATATCCATATTAGCAGAGTTACTAATAACATTTCTTTTTATGCAAGCATTTTTTTTCTAAAAAAATTCTTGTGTACTACTAATATTGATAAATTCATTAAGTTTTTCTCTACATGTGTATGCGTTTCATATGATGTTTATTATTAATTGTGCAAATACATACGATTTCGTTGGACTCGTTCAGTTTATCACTAATTGTTTACACAATTTATACATGTATTTACACTTTTCGGTGAACTCTCAATTTAATTACCGTCATTACTAATGATACTATTATTATTAT